TGCAGCCTCTGTGTACACTGTGTGTACAGCCACACGGTGCAGCCTCTATGTACACTGTGTGTGCAGCCACACGGTGCAGCCTCTGTGTACACTGTGTGTGCAGCCACACGGTGCAGCCTCTGTGTACACTGTGTGTGCAGCCACACAGTGCGGTATCTGTGTACACTGTGTGTGTGCAGCCTCTGTGTACACTGTATGTGCAGCCACATGGTGTAGCCTCTATGTACACTGTGTGTGCAGCCACACAGTGTGGCCTCTCTGTACACTGTATATGTAGCCACACGGTGTAGCCTCTATGTACACTGTGTGTGCAGCCACACGGTGTAGCCTGTGTACACTGTGTGTGCAGCCACACGGTGTAGCCTCTGTGTACACTGTGTGTGCAGCCACACAGTGCAGCCTCTATGACTGTTCCGTCCTTTCTTCCAAGGGCTTCGGGGATGTCGTTCACTGTTTCAAACCTAGCTTTTACAGAACCTCAAAGATCTTTCACGACACTCTTTTTCTACTCCTCTCATTCACAGCAGGCCTTGGAAGCTCTCTGAAATAGAGAGCTTTGGCCTTTGCTCGTTTCTATAAAGATTTCTCATTCTAGTATGACATAATCCCTTCTCTCATCTGTGGAAAAGACCAGAGTTCTGCATAATGATGTCCCTGGGGTCAGAACCCAGGATATTCTTTTAGGAATGCGGGTTTCTGGTCTTACTCTATCATTTCAGGGCCTGGGAGTAAACCTCCTTCTGATGCAGCATTAATTATGGTGTGTTTGCCTTTCTTTAAAGTAGAAAGCAGGATTAATTAGAACCCCTATTTTTTTAAAGTATTTAATAATTTAGAGTTTTTGATTATGCTGTTTGTCCCGTGAATGTTGCTCAAGTATTAACCAACTGTGACAGCTTGCTAGTAAATTTGTATTTGGCTTTAGGTGATTTCTTTTTTATAGGACTAAATATTTAAGTTTCAAAAACAATTTCCTCTAAATCAGTTTAAATATGACACATTGTTTTGGTTTTGGTTTGAGACAGGGTCTTATGTAGCCTAGGTTGGCTTCAAGCTCACCTGGAACACTTGATCCTCTTGCCTCTACATCCAAAATGTTGGAATTTCAAGTGAACACCACAACTCCGGACCTTAGGTGGTATCTTTATGATACAGTGAAAATTGTCTATGACACAGCTATAGGAAGTCCACACACACACATACACCCCAAATTAAATTTGTAATTAAAAGTAGCAAGGTTAATGCATAAGATCGCGTTAAGTTCATCCAGTCCTTCTAATACAGTGTTTTTATTAGTTCTTGGAGAATTTCACATCCTTACAATGTATTCTGGTCATAATCTCCTCCGCTCCTCCCCAGCAACTCCCAGACTAATCCCAGAACCCCCTCAACTTCATGTGCTCCTTTTCGTTTTGTTTTTGAGATTATAATATGATTAAAATATCTCTCCCTCTCTTTCCCCCCACCCTCTCATATGTCCCTCCCCACTCTCCTTCCTGGTCTCTTTTTTTCATTAATTGTTATTGCACGTATATATGTATAAACATATATATTCCTAAATATAACCTGTTCAATCTGTATTTTTTATAGCCTTCTAAGGGCCACAATTTTAAAGAAAAATGATTCTCATTCTCCTGGGGGCCATTAACTGCCAATAACTCCTTAGGTGGGGAGGGTGCTGGTGACCTCTTCCTCTTCCTTGCGGCGATGTCCTGCAATGACTTGCCCTGGCAGCCAGAGTTGCTGTGATGTTTTTAGAGTAGCAATTCTGTTATGTTTCAAAGACTGGCTTTGCCCAATTTGTCACATCCTGTGGATCCTGCAGTCTTTCTGTCCCATGATGACCCTTACCCTGGTGGGGAGGAGGTGTGATACGGCTATTCCATTTACGACAGAAGCCCACTGTTCTTCACCCCAGTCATTATTTTAAGACTTCAAGCATCTCATTTCTAAGCATCCTTGCAGCCAGCCTAGCCTGTTCAAATCTATTCCAGTAGTTAATACAGAAGTCATGAGAGATTTACAGAAACACATGATGTAAAGCCAGAAAAAGTGAATTAAAAGCTGTTTCTTGGCAAGGTCAGAGCCTTCTTTCATCTTAACCTGTCAGACATTTGTACATAGTCAGATTCTAACTACTATGTCATCTCAACATATTCTTAGGGGTGGGAATTGAAAGTTCAAGGTCTCAGAAGTTAGAACTATCTCAACTGAGTCCAGAATCATAGATTTCTGCTCCAGGGTTAAGTTGTCATTTAATTAAAACTCTAATAGAATGCTAAAAAGTGACAACTTTTGAATCATAATCAGAACAAACAAAAGGAACAAAGTTTAAGCTGGGGATGAGGCTTAGTTGGTATTGTTCCTACCTGGCATGCAGGAAGTCCTGGGTTCCATCCTAAGCACTACATAAACCAGTCGTGGTTCTGTATGTCTGTAATCCCAGCACTCTAGAGGTGGAAGGCAGGAGATCAAAAGTTCAAAGTTGTCATTGGCTGCAAAGTGAGTTCAAGGCCATCCTGAGATACAATACACCTCCTATCAAAACAAACAAAAACAACAGCAAAGGATTACCATTACTTATTATCTAAATGCTAATTATAAATTATCTTCTTTAATCTTCATAAACTCTCTTATAATTTGGGTATTCTTATTCTCCCTTTTCAGAAGAAGAAACTGAGGATCAGGAGAGCTGAGTCATGTGGCCAGGTTTTATTTTATAACTTATAAGAGGTTGAGCCAAGTTTGACTGACAACTAAGACCTGTTGTAAACTGCATGTCAGGCCATCTACCAATTGGAAAATGCACACAAGATTGACCATCTTAATCTCTTAAAAATATTTGTTTAATTTTATTTTATGTGTATGAGTGTTTTGTTTGCATGCCTGTCTATAAACCACACGCAGGCCAGAGTGGTTGTCGGATCACCTGAGACTGAAGTAGGGGCCTCTGAAAGAGCAGCAAGTGCTCCTAACCACCGAGCCATCTTGCCAGCCCCCCTCTTAACCTCTTTTAAGTGTCAGATTCAGTGGCATTGTGTGACCATCACTTCCATCCATTAAGCCCTTTTCTTGTGTGTGTACGGGATGTGTTTCATGTGGCATACACACATGACTGTGTATCCATGCACCCTTTCTCATATATGTAGAAGCCAGAGTGAGACATCAAGCGCTCTCCTCAATTATTCTCCATGTTACTCCCTTGAGGCAAGGTCGTTCACAGAGCAAAAAGCTCAGTCTTTGAATGAGGCTGAGTGAGTTCTGGGAGTCTTCCTAGCTCCACCCTCGGCCCCCAGTGCTGGGGTTATAGGAGCATGGAGTTGTTCTGGCTTTTTATGTGGGTCCTGGGGTATAGGAACCCAAGTTCTCACACTTGCAGAGGAAGCTTCTTAACCACTGAGCGATCTCTCTCAACAAGCCCCATGGAGCGCTTGTCATCTTACAAAACCATACACAAAGCACTTGCCTTTCCATTCCCCACTTTGCAGCTCCTGGGAACCACAATTCCACTTGCTAGCTTTGTCGAGGCACCTTACATAAGTATGCTCGTAAAAGAATGTGTCTTTTATTGGCTGGCCGTGTTCACTTAGCTTCTTTCACTCAGTCTTCTCCATCCATGTTACAGCAAATGTTCAACATTTCCTGTTTTTTAAGATTGAACATTTCAGTGTGTGTCTGTGCCATATTTGCTTACCTATGAGTCGGCTGAGGGTTGGAGCAGTTGCTTCCACCTTTGATTCTTGCAGATAGGGTTGCAAAAAGGCAGGTGTATTAACCCTTTCTTGTTGCTATGACCAAGTATCTCTCAAACGCAATTTTAAAAAGGAAGCATTTTTTTCTGGCTCATGGCTTGAAGGTATAGTTCATTATGTCAGGAACGGGTCTGCAGCAGAGCACGGGGTGACTGGTCCTGTTGCACCCACAGTCAAGAAGCAGAAAGTGACGGGGCCTGATGCCTTCCTCCCTTTCACATTTCTGCTCATGCTGAGACTCCGCCCATAGGCTGACGCGGCACATGTCCAGAGTGTGTCTCCCCTCAGTTAAACATCTCTAGAAATGCCAGAGATTTGTCTCCTAGGTGATGCTTATCCCGCCAGATTGACAATCGAGTGTTAACTGTCTGAGTAGATGTGTAAACATGTCGGAGATGTTGTTGTTGCTTCCTTTTGGGAATTCCAGAATCTGCCAGCAATTCTGTACACATTTAAGAATTATAAGGAAACACTGCGGTGTTTTCATTATTGTTGGACCACTTTGCATTCCCACCAACGGTGATATGCTGTTCTAATCACTCTTCGTCCTAGCCAACCATTGAGATTTTCTGCTTTTGATTAGAGTCATCCAAACAGACCTGGTGTACTAACTAATTAACTTTAAATCAGATCATCAGCTGCCCAGTTCCAGGGATCTGTGAGGCAGGGCTATCCCTCACTCCATTACTTCTCCTGTCTCATCTTGTATTTACATGTCTGTGCTAGCTCAAATTCACTGGAAGCACTCCTATTCATGAAGCCCTGACAGATCAGGAAACCATGACCGGGAGGGGCCCCTAAAAGGCAAGCTGAAGGCTTTTGTCCCAGTCTTTATACAGGACCTTCTAATGCAGAAGCGAATGCCGTGAAGAATGAAAGCCTATGGTACCAGTTCTCAGTAACTCTGAGTGGAGAGCTTATAGAAAAGTACTTATGGGGCTGAGCATCTTTGTGAGGATGCAACTATCTTATCTGCCTATTTCCCTTCTGACCTCTCTACAAAGACTAGAGTTTTCTCCCGGTCACTACAGCAGGGTGACACAGGTTCCTAATAGGTGTGCATAGAATGACACTGTCTATGTTATATAGATGGCAGTCCTATAAGAGCGCCAACACTTGGGGTGTCTGAGTATCCCAGAGCTGTCAGTGTTAGCTCCACTGACACCTAAAGGGTTAGTGACCCCGGTGTGTCTTACAGAAGATAGGAACAGCATTTGTTGAGTGATCCTGAAGCCCACAGGTGTCCTAGCGCAGCAGGACGAGGGGGTGTGAGCAGGTTCGAACCTGCATCCCTTACCAGTTTGTCAATGAACCTTAATTAATTAACTTTTAGGAGTCTCGTTCTCCCTACTTGAATGAGTGAGTGGCAGTGGCATTGTAACTGGCAAATCTTCCCAGGTCAGGTGAGTGTAATACGTATGGGTAGAGCTGGGAAGGTTAACTGTTGTGTCTAGACTGGAGCACTTTTGAGAATGCAAGGGGACGTTATTAATAACTAATCTAGTACGACAGCTATAAACCCAGCTTTCCTGGGAACCCTGATCAGTAGAGTTAACTTACTTTGGAGAAGGGGTTGGTTGCATGAATGCATGTGTGTTTATGTCTGCACGTGTATGTGGCATATGAATGTGGTTACATATGGAGAGAAAGAGAGAACATTTGCTTGTGTAGATGTGTGCATGTGCCCAACATTTGTGTTTCTGGAAGTCATAAGTCAACACTGGGTGTCTTCTTCCCTGTTTATTCGGACAAAGGGTCTCACTGAACCCCCAAGCTCACTGAGTCCATTAGCCTAGCTAGCCAGTCAGCTCCAAGGCTCCTCTTGGCCCCGCCTCTCCAGTGCTGGGATTACAGACACATGCTGCCAACACCGGGATTTCTTACACGGATTCTAAGAAACCAAGCTCAGATGCTCATGCTCACAGTGCAAACCCTTCCCCAACTCCTTAGTCCCTAGAGCAACCCTCCTTTTAAGGCCCACAGAGCTCTTGGCCACATTCTAAGCACAAGAAGAGCTCTGCTAATGTTCAGTTTCACTCCCTGTGGCTGTCAGTTCTAGTCAGGCATCCCTGGCCTTGTGGAGAGCACTTGTTGTGCGCACTTGCGGAGAGACTTAGCGTTGTGCGCACTTGCTTTAGCTAGTGAAAGGAAAGCAAGCATGGAAAGGGCAATGGTTCTGACTCTAGAAAAGCTCAGTCTGGAGAACCTGAAATGTACACAAAAGAGACTTCTTTTTAATGCATGTGTGCATCTAGTGCCTGCTTTCCACCGACTACGATTCACCCTGTCTCACCAAGGTATGTTGTCTCTAGAACAAGTAACTTGCTTTAGACCAGTGATTCTCAATCTATGGATCGTGATCCCTTGGGGGTTCAAATGACCCTTTCACGGGGGTTGCATATCAGATATTTACATTATGGTTCATTATAGTAGCAAAACTACAGTTATAAAGTAGCAATAAAAACAATTGTGTGACTGGGGAGGTTGCTGCAACATGAGGAACTGAATTAAAGAGCATCAGCATTAGGAAGGTTGAGAATCACTGCTTTAGAGAAAGAGAAGCCAAGAAAGTATTGTGAGGGCAATCTGTATTGTCACATAAGCTGAACTGTCTGAAATGCCTGATTGCTTCACCAACAAAACTTCCTTAAACTCTAAGGTCTTGTTTTTAATAGTAAATGGATCTTGGGCCAGTTTCTCCGTTTTTTCATGAGAATATAGACTCAAAGCCTTGCAATGTGAGTGCAAAGGTCAAATTTTAGCTTTGTGTTGGGACATGAGCTCATGAGACTATTATCTTGATCCTGCAGAATGGAAAGCCATTTCCATTCTGCTTTTCATCCTAATTATAAAGAGCATGTGGTAAAATATCGAGACCATAATACTATGGACTTGGCTTCAGAAGTTGGCTTGGACCACCGTGGTGGTCCTGGAATCTGGGTGTTCACCTCTGTCTCCTTCCTCCATGTCCAGGGCTCAGCTAGAGTCAGGGTTTGTTAGTTCACCCGCTGGGACATCTGCTTCCTTACTCCACCCTTTCTCACTTCTGCTGCCTCCACCCTGAAATACCTCACTGGTCTACATTACTCTTGATGGTTCTCCATGCTGCAGCAGGAAGCAGCCTTCTACACCCGAGTCTGGGTATCCCACCTCCCTGCTTTAAGTTCTTCCATGGTTACCCAGTGCTTTGGGGGTGAAACCTAACCTCCTTAACAGACCCAAGAGGTTCTATGCCTTTCTTCTCTGGCCATATACATCACATTCCTCCCAAGTCAGAGCCTCATTAAATACTTCAGTGACATGCATCCTATGTGGACCCAAGCTTGCTATGTGGTCTACTCTGCTGGCCTCTGACCTCTCTTTTCTTGAATTCCTGTGCACCTCATACTTCACATAATCATCTCTTCCTGCAGGCTTTTTGGGGATCCTGTAGACCAGAATTTACTTTCCTTCTATGAGGATTCAAAGCATCTGTCAGATCATCTCTCTAAGGTACTTAGCAGAGCATATAGCCTGTAGCAACCAGTTTTTACTTGTTAGCAGTAACAGCAGTAGGGATAGATTCATTTGTTTGCCTTTAGTTGCCCCTGGTATTACAGCCTGAACAAACACTGAGTCAACATCATCTCTCATCACTCGTCACATCTCTAATATATACCCATGTATCTGATACATGAGAGTATCAAGAAAGACTTGTAAGATACGTAAATGGTCATAAAATCTACAATCTGCAATGTCCGGGGGCCTATCCATTGTGTTAGAAGAAATGGGTCAAATGTGATCTAAATGTTTGCACAAACAGAAAAAAACTATTTTCCTGGAAACTTTTGTCTGTGAGTTTCTGGAATCTTCTGGATAAATTTCACTAAAACTCCTAGCTCAAGGCATAGGAAACATTTACAGTATGAACCCTTCACAACTCTGCTATTAGGGACTTTTATGCTAAAAATTCTAGGAAAGGACCAGCTATAAGAAAAAGATCTGTCTCCTCTTGTATGTGTTGTATTGTCTTCCTCTGTCAACTTCTGGCACCTCACTTTGCTGACAATTAAAATGCCAATAAAAAAAGAAAAAGACAACATTAAAGATTATCAAGAAACTAAAGTCCCTAATTGGGCCAGGTGGTCTATGCCTAGAATCCCAGTCTTAGGAAAGAGGAGGAGACAGGAAGATTGTGAGTTAAAGGCCGGCCTCGGGCTACACGTGGACACCCTGTCTCAGAAACCTAGGGGCTGGGGTGTGGGTTAGCGGCCGGTCACTTATCTAGTCAAGGCTTCAACTCTGACATTGAAAAAAGAAAAAAAATCAAGGACTGTAGGGAGGGTAGAGAAAGGAAAAGAAACATTACAATGTGAAAATACACTGTAAGCCAAAGGACAAAAAAATAAGGAAAACATAAAATCAGACGTCCTGACAACCAGATGCTAGCTATGTTAAAAAGGACTAAATGGAAGAAATACTTTCTAACCTAAAATTTAAAAGATCTTAAGGGATCTTTTGTTTGTTTGTTTGTTTTTGGATCTTCAAAATGAAATCATAGTTACCTGGCAGTTTAGAATAAGAAAAGGAAAAGTAAAGGAATAAATTCAAGAGTTTGGGTTTTCGGTACGCACCAAAGGAATAAAAGAAGTGAAATCACACACACACACACACACACACACACACACACACACACACACACACTCCATAAAATCCCCAGCTAGCCAGGAGTAAGTGAAGAAGCAAGACCCTTCTCCCAAAACACAGTGGAGGCAAGAACTGACTCCCAGAGTTCCCCTGACTTCCACATATAGGTTCAGTCCCCACTTTCTGTCTCTCTCTCTTTCTCTCTCTCTCTCTCTCTCTCTCTCTCTCTCTCTCACACGCACGCACGCACGCACGCACGCACGCACGCACGCACACACACACAAGGATTTTTTTAAAATTCTGTTTAAATGATTCAAAGGTAGAATACCCACAAACATGAAATGAAAAGAGGAAAAAGGAAAAAGTATTTGAAAGAAGATTAAAAATAAATCCTAGCAATGAGTGGGGAAGGATAGAAAGAGAAGGGAAAGAAGGGGGAAGGGGAGGGCAGGAAGGAGGGAGACAGTTCTCTAGGGGTCAGGAAGAGGGAGGGACAGAGGGAAAGAGGTGGAAGAATACACTATTCTAGATCCCTGGTACCCACAA